ACCCCCCCCCCCCTCCCATGCGAAATAAAATGTGTTGAAATTAAGTGGACCCTGGTTAATTAATGAACACGTCAATTAGTGACCTTTCATTCGGATAAAACTGGATAATTGAATTGGAACCTTTTATTAGACCTTATACTAGTATAATAAAAAATTTACAAAAGAAAAAGATTAAACAACTTTTTTCTCATCAAAGAGTTCAGCACCCACGAATTAAAAGCTTTGGCTCAGGTCGTAATTCCTTAAACCTAGCTTTAAGACCCAATCTTAGACTCAACACTGACGACAGCTTGTGTCACGTAATACACAGCTGCGAGATATTAAGCTCGACCTAGGAGTTAGGCCTAAAGAAGATAAAATCGAAATTGGTTAGTCTTAGTGGAGAATAAGGCTCGATGTTGAGTATTGTTCTCATAAAATCCGGAATGCGCCAATTCCTACCATGAAAATCCGCCAAATAGAATATTAAACCGGTTTTTTAACTCCACTCTGCGGAAAATAAGATGCAGCTTGAATCCAAAAGTTCAAGCTTTAAATAAGGCCCAAAGATCGTTTAGACCGGAGTAGTATTTTCTTGAATTTTTTAAATCTCCAGCTCATATAGTAAATTACAGTTAACCGTTTAGACCTGGAAAAGGCATTTGACAATTTGACATTTTTTTACTTTTCTGCAAATCAATTGTTTACGTGCGACAACTTTGCAATTTTTTACAATAAAACACAACACATAGAGTCAGGGAGAAAAAGTGCAAAAGTATAAAAATGACATTGCAGAAAAATGATTTATTTAGGACGTGAAATCATAAAAATCATTTTATCCGGACATAACTTTTCATGTAAAACAATGCATTATCCATTGGGGTGGAAATGAAGGTGGTGGAGGATGATATAAAGGGGGCGAGGGAACGGAGGAGGGGGGGGGGGAAAACTTTAAAACACGAGCAAAAAAAGAGGGAAAAGGATGAATTTGAAAACGAAAATCACAAAAAGTTGAATATATTAAAAAGATGGAATTTCAAAGAGATCCTATTTCAAATAAAAGCAGAAATAGATTAGTTTAGAATTTAAATCTAGAAATTCAAAAATTCTCAGTTTGCAGTTTGACCAATCATACAATATTTCGATTGAAGATGAATTGTTGCGTCTCTCTTATGGTTTAGAAACCATCCTATCCCAGACTCAGAGGCACATCTTTTATATGCTACGTAAATCTAAGTTTGCTCAGAAATCTTAAATTTAATTATATTTATGCGTGAATTGACCTACCTGTGCGTAGGGATGTTAACGTTTTCATTTTTCAGAAAAACGATCGTTTCGTTATGATAACGACGACGAAAAACCGAAAACGAAACGATCGTTTTTAAAAACGATCGTTTTTTTGAAAAGTTCGTTTTTTAACAATGGTCGTTTTTAAAACGATCGTTTCGTTAACGATCGTTAACGACGACCCTTCGTTAACGATCGTTAACGACGGACCTTCGTTAACGATCGTTAACGACAACCCTTCGTTAACGATCGTTAACGACGAACCCTTCGTTAAACATCGTTAACGAATAGAGAAAACCGACCTGAGGGCATCTGTACTTATCATTGAGTAGTTTTTAAGAAAATATCAAGGAGTTTTAACTCCCCCATAACTGTTAAACTTCATGTAAGACGACATTCAATGAAGTTGCAAGTAATTTTTTTTCAAAAACAACCGTTTTGATAAAGTTCGTCGTTTCGTTAACGATCGTTAACGACGACCCTTCGTTAACGATCGTTAACATAATTGTCAATAAAAAAAAATTTCAAAAACGATCGTTTTTTCAAAAACGATCGTTTTTTCAAAAACAATCGTATAAAAAACGGTCGCAAATCGTTTCAATAAAAACGATCGTTTTCAAAAACGATCGCTATTCGTTTTCTAAAAGTTCAAAACGAGTGGGTCGTTTTTAAAAACGATCGTTTTTTCCGAAAACGAAACGATCGTTTTTGAAAACGAAACAAAAAACGATCGTTTAACGATCGTTTACAAAAACGATTAACAACCCTACCTGTGCGTATGTCTGTTGACCTACCTATACGTATGTCAGTTGAAATACCCGTGCGTATGTATGTTGACCTACCTGTGCGTATGTTCCGTATCCGAACTGATTGAATACGAGAGGATTGATGATACCAAAGTTTCCAGCAATGCTGCCGAGGTTTCCAACTTGTTGCATTCTACGCAGCTGGCGTTCCTTCGGTAGATTATTAATAAATTTGATTTTAATGATAATTTTGGACTGAATAATTAACCATTCAATTTCTTACAGATGATTAATTTATCAATTGATTGATCTATTTCTAAAGAAAATTCAAATAGAATTTATTGATTAAATACTCAATTATGAGTTAATAAATTAATTATTTTACCTTTTCTGATTCTGCCACTTTTAGCACCAGGCTGGGAGATACCGTCTGAAAGTTAATAGAATTGATTAATGTTAGGTTTTAATCAAGCTGTTTAGAGGGGTAATAATATTTTCAGTTGAACTTTTTACAACCATTGCTTTTTAATGTAAGATTTAACAGCATTGTGTGCAACATATGGATTCAATGCTTATAAGCTGAAATGAACTCTTCGTTGTTGCAAATTGAATTGTAGGGATAATTTCACAATTGTTTATCCCCCGCACCTTTCCGGATCTTTCAATTCTACAAAATTGTCCTTTCAAAGTGGCCATCAACCTTGAACGGAATGGGAAAGAGGCTAAAATTAGTTTAACAGTTAGAACTTAAAGTAAAAATGGCCCTAACTTGTAATATATTTTTTCTCAAGTTCTTATCCCTGTTGTGTGCCTCTCTGTCAAGTCATCTTATATTTAATTATAAATGTACAGTACCGGCATTGTTTGATGTGACTGAAGTAGGCCTAAGGTAGTCTGTACATCAGGGCTAGTGAGCTTGTACACCTGACATCCACCTGTACAGTGTACATACAGTACATAAGAAAATCTAGCCTTGATCAGTGGAATGCAATACCCTGACCAAATTAATTATTTTTTTTTTCAAGATTAAATATTGTTCATGATATGATGGCGATGACGCGCTTTGCTTTTAAACCTGAAAATAATCAAAAAAGACAAATATACAGGGTGAGTAAAAAAAGTGTGATTTGCGGCGTCTCATGCAAAATTGTGTCTTTTTTGTGCAACTCTCCTTTATGTTTTTTTCAATATTTTTTGTTTGCCACTCTAATGGTCAACAAAAATCCGCGAAACTTTTTTCTCTCAAAATCAAAAGTTCCGAAAAGCAAAGATGTGTATAAATATTATTTCTATCAGATTTTAGAATTTTATAAAGATTGAGTCACAGAATCACAGAAAATTTGCAAAATTGTAATAAGAAAATTCGCAATTTTTAGTTCTGGTCTAATTTTTAAGGAAAAGATGTTTTTTAAATCCTCTAGTTCCTTTCTTCTTAGTTGGAGCCATTGAAAATCAAATTTTCCTTAAAAATTAGACCAGAACTGAAAATAGCGAATTATCTTATAACAATTTTGCGAATCTTCTGTGATTCATTCAATATTTTAAAAAATTTAGAATTTTTATAGAAATGGTATATATACACACTTTTGCTTTTCTGAACTTTAGATTTTGACAAAAAAAAAATATTGAAAAAATAACATATTGGAGAATTGCACAAAAAAAGCCCAATTTTGCACCAGACGCCGCTAATCACACTTTTTGTAGAAAAAAAAGCTAAAATGGTAATTTAAGACCAAGTGAGGGTAAACGGCGGGAGTTACTATGGGAAACCTGGGCAGCGCTGGGTTCCCAACCTAGTCGATAAATATTATAGGTTCTCCTTCATCAACGGATAAATATTATAGGTTCTCCTTCATCAACGGATAATATTATAGGTTCTCCTTCATCAACGGATAATATTATAGGTTCTCCTTCATCAACGGATAATATTATAGGTTCTCCTTCATCAACGGATAATATTATAGTTTCTCCTTCATCAACGGTTAAATATTATAGGTTCTCCTTCATCAACGGATAATCTTGAAGTATCAATCTTTTACCTTTATTATTATTATCCTGTCTAAAGATTGATTCATCTATTCCGGGGAAGGGATGATACTGAACCTGAAAAATTAGTTATAATAGATACGTAGATGGATAGTAGGGTGTAAGAACGGAAAGTAATTTCTACAGAAACCACTATAGTGTATTTCGGTAAGATTATTCTCAGAGAAAGAAATAAAATGGTGAAGGATTTATGAAGTAAATCCTCTCTCTGTCCCAATTCTTATCATCTCTTACCAAGCAACATACACAAGTACCTACATTTCATCTTTTCTAATTTATTAGTTTATTCTTGTCTAGTTTATTAGTTTATTCTTGTCTAATTTATTAGTTTATTCTTGTCTAGTTTATTAGTTTATTCTTGTCTGATTTATTAGTTTACTCTTGTCTAGTTACTTAGTTTACTCTTGTCTAGTTGATTAATTTATCTTGTCTAGTTTATTAGTTTATCTTGTCTAGTTTATTAGCTTACTCTTGTCTAGGTTATTAGTTAAATCTTGTTTAGTTTATATAGTTTACTCTTGTCTAGTTTATTAGTTTATTTTTGTTTAATTATTAATATAGATAGTCTTGTTTGATTTATCAGGTTACTCTTGCATAGTTTATGCAATGTACGTACAGTATATACCCTGTTATGTACTGTACTGTATCTGAGTTTATAATCCCTTGTTATGTATTGCTCTGTATATTTATCTGTTATCTACTCAATTGTATATTCCCAAGTTATGTACTGTACTGCATATTCACCTGTTATGTACTGTACTGTATATTTTCCTATTATGTACTGCACAATATATTAACCTATTTTGTACTGCACTGTAAATTTACCTGTTATGTACTGTACTATTTATTTATCTAATATGTACTGCATTGTATTTACTACTATTATGTATTGTACTGTATAGTTACCTATTATGTACTGCACTGTATATTCACCAACTATGTACTGTACTGTATATTTACCTGTTGTGGGTCCTCAGCAGAATCTTTTCCTAGCATCGTCGGGCAGAATATTTAAACCTGACAACAACAAAACTTTTTTTAAACATTTTAAAATTAGAGAAAATCAGGGAAATTTAAACATTTCGTGACACAGAAGTGAGTAGAGGGAGACACTTCTAAGTGCTCTTTTATGAGAACAAATTCATAAAAGAAAAGTTAGGATGACATTCAACAACTTTCAGAAAACCGAGAAAAGCCTTTTCTATCATTGTTGTCTTTCTGGTTGTATTTATCTATCTAACAATCTATCTTGTAATCTCTCAAACTATTTAATTTAATCAAAATTATTTTCAGTTGAATTTCGTTATTTACTTCAAGTTTGTGTAAGCCAACCTCTCAACTGTAAACATATCCTCTGGAGAAAAATTAATTTAATTAAAATTATAAAAAATCTTTAAAAAATAAAACTTATGTACTTTTCTTTCAGAAACAATTTAATTCGTTGCTCCACAGATTAGGTTCAAACATTTTGAAATTTCTGTTTCATGTTTGATCACCATTATTAATTTGTAAATCAATATGAAATCAATATTTTATAATCAACGAAATAAATAAAAAGCTAAAATGAAGAAATTCGTTTTAAAAACATGGTAGATTTCAATGATTTAATTTAAATCGCAAAAAAAAAATATTTTTTCAATCTATAAAAAATTATAATCTACAAAAATTCGATTAAAAACCTTCGCGTTATTGAATTCTGATAAAAAGAATAGATTAAAAATATTTATTAAACAATCAGTTTTATTTAAAATATAAAGAAACAAAGATGTTTTCAACTGTAAATGTTTTCAAATCTAAGAAACCCCCGGTTGAATGTTCATGAAGTTTCAAATACATAAAAATGCATTTTTTCAAAATTTTGCATCAACCAAATTGTTTAATTTAAATATTGCCAATAACACAATATTTCTAAATGCATCAGAGTATGATTAAAACCTAACATATTCAATATTCATATCACATTTAGATTCATCAAACCAGGGAAACCAAGGGAACCAGGAGAACCAGGGAAACCAGGGAAACCAGGGAAACCAGGGAAACCAGGGAAACCAGGGAAACCAGGGAAACCAGAGGAACCAGAAAAACCAGGGAAACCTGGGAAACCAGAGAAACCAAGGAATCCAGGGAAACCAGGAAAACCAAGGAAACCAGGGAAACCAGGAAAACCAGGGAAACCAGGGAAACCAGGGAAACCAGAAAAACCAGGGAAACCAGGGAAACCATGAATTCAGGGAAACCAGGGAAACCAGGGAAACCAGGGAAACCAGGGAAACCAGGGAAACCAGGGAAACCAGGGAAATCAGGAAAACCAGGAAAACCAGGGAAACCAGGGAAACCAGGGAAACCAGAGAAACCAGGGAAACAAGGGAAACCAAGGAAACAAGGGAAACCAGGAAACCAGAGAAACCAGGGAAACTCAAGGAAAAAGACTCAGGGACATGTTTGCATGGTTTGAGCATATAAATATTATGTTTACCTGAGAATTAATCAGCATTAACTGTACAGTTTAGTGGAACCTATCACAGGCTGCAGCCAATCCCTCTGTACAACCTGGAAACATTAGATTAACCGTACAGTTTAGTGTAACCTATCACAGGCTGCAGCCAATCCCTCTGTACAACCTGGAAACATTAGATTAACTGTACAGTTTAGTGTATCCTATCACAGGCTGCTGCCAATCCCTCTGTACAACCTGGAAACATTAGATTTTGAATAATATCTATATTTTTAAAGTTGTAATCTCTGATTGTCTGTCCGATCATTCCGATCATGAACTCCAGGACCGATTTGCTTCAAATTTTGATTGAGGAACTCGTTAGGACCACGGGAATGATTCTAAGTTTAGTGGGTCAACGTTTAAAGGGGAAATATATTTAAAATTGTAACCTACGACAAAGTGCGGGTAGACGGTGGAACTAACTATGCCTACCCAGGGTAACCCTGGGTTTTCAAGCTAGTGAAAAATATTTACTTTATGTTTGAGTGATGGCATATTTACAGAATATATATATATATAAGATATATAAAGAATATATATATTTAAGATATATAAAGCATATTACTTTCTAATAAAAGATCGTCATTTCTAATATTTATGGTATTCATATCAATAAATGCCACAAATATATCTATTTATCTATCTATCTATCTATCTCATGTTGTATTACTGTATATATAAAATCAAGCCTAATATTGTCTAAGCCTCTCTTTCCTCCAATAAGAGGCCGGTGTTCTTAAACAGCCAATAGAAAGCCTGGATATTCAGGCAGTGAGGCTAGCCCAGCCCCCCGGACTGCCTCATGCCTTATCTCAAGCCACATCTCGACTCACACTCACTCTGTAATTGGTCAGCGAAACTTATAATATCTATAACATAGCATTAATATATAATATACAATATCCCCCCCTACCCCCCCCCCCTTCTGCGTTTATCTATTAAGGAATTGGATCTTTAAGGATGTAATTGTATCTTCTTATATTTTAATGAAACTATTTGATATTTGCTCTTAATTTTAATAACATTTACCAAATATACGCTCAAATTTTGACCGCCCCCCCCCCTCACACAGACAAAAATAAAATGAAAAAGACTATTAAATCCTTAAATCCAAAACAAAGGAATTGAGTCTTTTCGAATCCCTATATCTTTGCAACCTGAAGGTGTAAACCTTTGAAATTTTTTAACTTAGATTATTTGATCTGATAGTAATCATTGTGTGAAATATTAAAGGTCTACGACATCGGGTTGTAAAGATATAAGGATCTAGCAAAACAGAGTTTGTGGCAAAAATTTAATTCCTTTGAAATTTTGCATGCTGAATTCCATTCTAAATATCAGCACTGTGTAGATTTTCTATCGTCTTCTCAAGAGTTTCTTTCTCTTTGTGAATATGATATTTGAGTTAAACTGTTTTTATATTGGGACGTTCTTCAGATTTCTAGTGTTTTTTCAATATTTACTTTCAATCAGATTACAATTCCTTTTGCGCTATGCAAATATGGGTCCCGAAACCCCCCCCCCTTCCTGATTTATCCACTTCCTCCATCTAGCCCCTTGAATACCCCCCCCTCTTCTCTTCCAGACGGTTTCCAAGAAATTCCACACAATCTCTGAATCCCCTTCAATTCCCACCATCTCTCTATCCCTTTCAATTCCCACCATCTCTCTATCCCCTTCAATTCCCACCATCTCTTCATCCCTTTTAATTCCCGACAATCTCTTTATCCCCTTCAATTCCCACCATCTCTTTATTCCCTTAAATTCCCACCATCTCTCTATCCCTTTCAATTCACACCCTCTCTCTATCCCAATAAGTTCCCAAAATCTCTCTATCCCCTTCAATTCCCAACATATCTCTATCCCCTTCAATTCCCACCATTTAGCTCTAGATCCCCTTCAATTCCCACCATCTCTTTATCTCCTTCAATTCCCACCATCTCTCTATCCCCTTCAATTACCATCATCTCTCCATTCCCTTCAATTCCCACAATCTCTCTATCCCCTTCAAGTCCCACCATCTCTCTATCCCTTTCAATTCCCACCATCTCTCTATCCCCTTCAATTCCCACCATCTCTCTATCCCCTTCAATTCCCACCATCTCTCAATCCCCTTCAATTCCCAAACTATCTGTATCCCCTTCAATTCCCACCATCTAGCTCTAGATCACCTTCAATTCCCACCATCTCTTTATCTCCTTCAATTCCCCACCATCTCTCTTCTCTCTATCCCCAACAATCTATTTTCTCTGCATCCTATCTTCATATCCAAACAAATGCTAACAAAGCATCAAATGACACTACCTACATAAAAATCTCCCTCCCCCTGTAAAGCGTAGCACCTGCCAGGGGGGTTTAACCCCCTCCCCCACCCCCCACCTCCGTTTCCTCGAACCATATTGAGTTTTCTGTCAAATACAATTAGGATTTGAGGGCTTGATGTATGTATTGTTTAGCTGTTTAGTACTTCAATACTAAATATTGAAGATGGATGGGGGGAGGGGAGGGGTGAGGGGGGTTGAATATATATATATAGGGACCAAGAAGAGTAGTAAGTAATGACCTTATAATATTTACTTTACACGTAAGTTCACGTGACTCCCATGTCACTAGCATGTTTGATTCGCAAATGTACACTTAAACGCTTTGTCTGATCAAATATGAATTAGATATCCATGCTTTTGTTTTTGAAAATTGATCATTGTTGATTTTTTACAAAAGTGACTTGTGCATTTCTTGCTTCAGAGATAAAGAAGAAATTATGAAAATTAAACACTTTACAAGCAAGAAAAAAAAACTTTATCTTTCAAATTATTGATTAAGTTGAATTTTAATGACAGTTCCTCATGTGAACCTCATTTTCAATCATTGCAACTAGTTTTTACATTTTCTTTTTTAAACCAAGTTTTTTTTGATGGATTTTTGATGAGAAATCAACATTTCACTAAATTTATTCTTATTTGTTATTTGACTGTGTGTAGGTGTATTGTGTATCGTACATATGGTTGAATTTTGAATCAATACATTTTTTGAACAATTGTTTGATGGTTGATAGTTGTACTATGTTTTAAAAAAACCAACACTAATTGGAAGGTAGGGAGCTGAGAGGGGGGTAGGGAATATGTGAGTGAGTGAGGGAAGCGGACAAGTGAGAGGGGTGAGGGAGGAGCGAAAGAGAAACATAAACAGGTTGGGAACACTAAAATAAGGGTAAGGGTGTTTGGGGGAAGCTTTAAAAGAAGAAGAGAGCGATTACAAATTAAAGTAAGGATTGTTTTGACTTCGTGTAAGAACATTAATAAATTGATGACTGTAAAAGAAAAAAAGAAAATAATTTGAAAAATATTTTAAAAATGTTGTAATCATGCAATAACAGAATTCTAAATGGCAACCTGAATACTATATAGGAAACCTTACAGACTTGAACTTTAAAAAAACAAATTATTAAAGGTTATTTAGGAAGGAGAAATGATGGGAAATAACGTGGGGAAGGAAAGGTCGGTTAAAGGACGGGGAAGGAAAAAAGAAAAAAAGGGAGGGGGAAGGAAAAAGAAAAATAAAGGNATCTAGAGATTATTCTCCTGGTATATCCAGTATCTAGAGATTATTCTCCTGGTATATCCAGTATCTAGAGATTATTCTCCTGGTATATCCAGTATCTAGAGATTATTCTCCTGGTATATCCAGTATCTAGAGATTATTCTCCTGGTATATCCAGTATCTAGAGATTATTCTCCTGGTATATCCAGTATCTAGAGATTATTCTCCTGGTATATCCAGTATCTAGAGATTATTCTCCTGGTATATCCAGTATCTAGAGATTATTCTCCTGGTATATCCAGTATCTAGAGATTATTCTCCTGGTATATCCAGTATCTAGAGATTATTCTCCTGGTATATCCAGTATCTAGAGATTATTCTCCTGGTATATCCAGTATCTAGAGATTATTCTCCTGGTATATCCAGTATCTAGAGATTATTCTCCTGGTATATCCAGTATCTAGAGATTATTCTCCTGGTATATCCAGTATCTAGAGATTATTCTCCTGGTATATCCAGTATCTAGAGATTATTCTCCTGGTATATCCAGTATCTAGAGATTATTCTCCTGGTATATCCAGTATCTAGAGATTATTCTCCTGGTATATCCAGTATCTAGAGATTATTCTCCTGGTATATCCAGTATCTAGAGATTATTCTCCTGGTATATCCAGTATCTAGAGATTATTCTCCTGGTATATCCAGTATCTAGAGATTATTCTCCTGGTATATCCAGTATCTAGAGATTATTCTCCTGGTATATCCAGTATCTAGAGATTATTCTCCTGGTATATCCAGTATCTAGAGATTATTCTCCTGGTATATCCAGTATCTAGAGATTATTCTCCTGGTATATCCAGTATCTAGAGATTATTCTCCTGGTATATCCAGTATCTAGAGATTATTCTCCTGGTATATCCAGTATCTAGAGATTATTCTCCTGGTATATCCAGTATCTAGAGATTATTCTCCTGGTATATCCAGTATCTAGAGATTATTCTCCTGGTATATCCAGTATCTAGAGATTATTCTCCTGGTATATCCAGTATCTAGAGATTATTCTCCTGGTATATACAGTATCTAGAGATTATTCTCCTGGTAAATCCAGTATCTAAAGATTATTCTCCTGGTATATCCAGTATCTAGAGATTATTCTCCTGGTATAACCAGTATCTAGATATTATTCTCCTGCTATATCCCCTACCTGGAGCTAAGTAAACCTGAACCTATAACACTATTATCTCCATCTTGAGCCTTTGCTCCGAATCCTCTCAGGATGAAAGTAAACCTTTTACAAACATTAAAAGCCTACTCAACCTTTTAATATTTAGCACTTTTAACTTTAATCCTGAACTAAATTGGAGTGTCAGTCCCAGCCCTTAGCTTTAAAAAGGTTTTGCTCAGCCATTTACGTTAATACCGAGATGGTATGTTTAATGTATAATGTATAATGTAACATGTATAATGTATAATGTAACATGTATAATTGTAAAATAAAATCATTAAAAATTTATATGTCGAAATATATTATTATT